ATATATATATATATATATATATTTGCTATAGCTTTGGCTGCTTGGTTTTTTTTTTCCCTCTTTTCCCTCTCTGGGAGGCGGGTCCTTGTTGTCGAGTTTCGGGGGACTTGGCGGGAAACCAACTCGAAACTTGTACAAAAGCAATCTACCAATATACTATAGAGCAAAGCACAAACTCTAGTCCTGAAAGCAGCAATCAGCATGCATAGAATGAGTTTCTTACCGATTGGTATCCCTATGGGTGGGGGGGCGGAAGACAGGTTAAGCCTGTCATCTGATCCCAGCAGTTTCAGTGGAGTCTTCCTATGATTTTTCCCAATTTCCAACTTACTTTTATACTATTTCTTTAGGTTTAGGTGGAGCTTGAGTGACTCTAGTCATAAGTACTTAATTGGGTAGACGGCCTTGGTGTCTGTCTTCCTTGGTGAACTGGTACAGTACGGTCTTTGAACTACAAAGTATCACCATATTCCCCTCCCTGCAGGATGTTTATGGAGGGAGGACACAGCACCTTCACGCTACTCCTCTCTCTGTGTCATCCCCCATAGCAGGTGATTATCAGTGTTTAGGAAACTGTTGTGGGGCATGCTGACCATGTTCCATCCGGGAAGCCACAGTTGAGAGGCATATGTTAAGAGTAAATGAGGGGATAACCCCCTCAGTCTAGAAAAAAGCTCTGTATGTCTCAAACCTTTTGACCTTCTCTGGAGATTGCCTTTATTTACCTTCTTTTAGAGTTTCAGGAAAAATATGCTGTGCTTGGCAAAAAACCTCCTCCAAACTGATAATCTTGTGATCCCTGTGAGAGCTGAGGACAGAGCACAGCATGCAGATGCAGAACTTGTCTCTGGTCAATGGTCTGATCCACACGACTTGATAACTTGGGGAAAGGGATATGTTTGTCTCTACAGATAATAGTCCTCACTGAATACCTGCACGGTATGTGTGTCCTGCTGTTAGTCCTGGAAGTCGTCAGTGCAGTTCCTGACCTGTCAAAGTTCACTCCCATGGCATAGTCGGAACGTCTGGGTGACTCTAATGAAGGAACTGAACCACACGACCTTTTGTGCATCACTGGCATATCCAGAGCAGCCATTTCACACCTGTCTTGTTGGTGTTCCTCTGAGTGACATGGAAGCATCTCTCCTGGTGCAGGATGTCGTCCGATGGCATGACTTATCAAAACGGGACTGTCATACTGTGCACGAGTGTTGTGATCATGTTGATAGCTGGGATGATGTATTGTCTGTTAACACTCCACTTCAAAAGTTAGGTATTTTAGAGTCACTGTTTGTAAAAGACTGTGTGTATTTTAATCATCGTGTAGGTTATGACATAGAATGAGCATGTAGTGAGTCTATGGTACGGGATGTGTTCCCTGAATCATCTTTCTATAGAAATTGTTCCTTCTGGTGTCGGTAAGAATCAGACTTGGAGTACTCCAGCAGTGAGTGCACTGGGTTTTTTGGCTTGGAAAACTGGTTTGGCAGATGGGGAATACCTAGTTGGTTAGCCTCACTTTTCAAAATGGGATGCTTGGTAGTGTTGATGGTTGTGGTTGTGTTACTGATGCTGCCGTGTTTAGTATTGCTCCTGCAAAGGGCCCTGCAGGATACGATGCGGGCAGTCTTTGTAGTACAATTACAGACAGGGGGAATTGTGGGGGGAGATGGTAGGCCCATGGAACCCCCGGGTCCCCTGGAAGTAGAGGAGCTTGAGGCGTTAAAGGGAGTAAGACCGTTCCCTTGAGAAAGGTAGAGATAACTGCACGTTCCCATGGAAACAGCCCTGAGTGCTGGACAATGCAAGGTCAGAGCTGCTTGACAAACTGCAGGTGTTGCATTCCTGGATGTTTTGTAAGAACATGTTTGTGGTGTATGTGTGGGAAAGTGGAAGTTGGCACTAATAAAAAAGCTGCCTGCTCAGCGTAGCATGCAGACATCTCTCTGGCTCTTCATCCTAGTGTGTCTCTTCATCCTAGTGTGTGTGTCGCGTGTCTTTCTTCCCCCACAGGACCAAGGCCTTTCGACAGATACCCAGAGACAAGTAAAATTCAAGGTTTATTGTAAAGGGAAAAAAATGAAGCAAGAAATCCAGAAAACAATTCATTACTTACTTTAAACCTGTCAATTCTTTATCCAAGAAGTGAATTACCACTGTAGTAAAAACAAAACTTGAGAAAATTGTGAAGAGACCAGCAATACCTTTAAAAAAATAAGTTGGAAAATTCTTTTTTATATATATTTGGAGATAAAGACAAGAAGAAAAAAGGAAGAATAAAATGCTATACCTTTAGATCAATTCTGAAGCAAACAAATGTCAATTCTCATCTCTCTTTTTTTACAGATATTTAAATCTACAATGTATACTGCATGCAAAGTAAGACTGTGAGAAATAAAAGCCTCAAATCTCAGTTACCAGCAAAAAGGAAAGCTGGTTTAAACAGCTCTATATTTTTAGAGTTTGACACAATAAACTATTATTTCAATAACCACATTTCCAATGTTTATATAATCCTATAAAATTTCTCTTAAAAAAGGAATTGAAGATCTATACAGAACATTTACAGTGCTATCTAGCAAAGAATTTAAATAACCCTGTTCTGTACATAAGCGTTAAAACTCTTACATTTATTATCAATTTATATCTTACAAAACAGTTAAAATGCACACAGTAAATAAATAAAAATTTAAAAATCAGATACAGTACCTAAAATGTATTTCAACCCAAGCTACCTCAAGTTCTGAAACTGAAAATATATATAAAAGATTGCTATACAGCGTGCAATTGTCAGAATGATGTCACTGCTCAGAACATCCTGTTTGAAATACAAAGTTATTTAGTTAGCTTTTACATTAAGTAGTGACCTGTTGTTAAGTAACAAACAAAAAAATCCATTGTGAATCTGCACTAAAACTGAAGTTGTATGGGGTCTGCATGGCAAGGTTTTGGTAGCTGGGGGGGGAAAACTACAGGGGTGGCTTCTGTAAGAAGCTACTGGAAGCTTTCCCTGTGTCCAACAGAGTCAATGCCAGCCAACTCCAAGATGGACCTGATGCTGGCCAAGGCCGAGGTCATCAGCAATGGTGGTAGCACCTCTGTGATAAGGCATTTAAGAAGCAGGGGATGGGCAGGGGGACACACATCAGCAACCGGAAGAGAGAGGAGTGAGAATATGTGAGAGACAATTCTGCAGACACCAAGGTCAGTGAAGAAGGAGGGGGAGGAGGTGCTCCGGGCAGGTGCTGGACTGGAGATTGTCCTGCAGCCTGTGGTGAAGACCATGGTGAGGCAGGTTGTCCCCCTGCAGCCCATGGAGGTTAAAGGTGGAGCAGAGATCCACCTGCAGCACATAAAGGACCCCACACCAGAGCAGGTGGATGTGCCCGAAGGAGGTTGTAACCCCATGGGAAGCCTGCACTGGAGCAGGCTGCTAGCAAGACCTGTGGGCCCACACTGGAGGTTTGCTGGCAGGACTTGTGACCCCACGTGCAACCCATGCTGGAGCAGTTTGTGAAGAACTGTAGCCCATGGGAAGGACCCACCCTGAAGAAGTTTGTGGAGGAATATCTCCTGTGGGAGGGACCCCATGCTGGAGCAGGGGAAGAGTGTGAGGAGAAAGGAGCAGCAGAGACAATGTGTGATGAACTGAATGCAACCCACATTCTCCATCTCCCTGTGCTGCTCAGGGGGAAGAGGTAGAGAAATTGGGAGTTCAGTTGAGCCCAGGAAGAAGAGAGGGGTGGGGGGAAGGTGTTTTAAGATTTGGTTTTATTTCTCATTACCCTACTGTGATTAGATTGGTAATAAATCGATTTCCCTGACTGTTTTGCCTGTGATGGTAATTGGTGAGTGGTCTCTCCCTGTCCTTATCTCAATCCATGAGCCTTTCATTAAATTTTCTCTCCCCTGTCCAGTTGAGGAGGGGGAGTGACAGAACAGCTTTAGTGGGCACCTGGCATCCAGTCAGAGTCAACCCACCACAGAACCTTTGGAATAAAATAACTATCACTGCTAGTATGTCTTTAAAAGATTAAAATACTGCAAACAATATGAATATTAAATGCTTGCTCACTCGATACCATGGCACTGCAAGTTAGGCTTAATGAAAACATTCTGTAGGTACATCACTGCTTGCATCTAACTTTAATATCCAGCATGGGAAAAGGAGGAAATAAAGAAGTTTCTATGTAACTACTTTCCTCCTGATTCATCACAACCTGATCTTAATCTACAGAAAACCCTGCATTTGCAGATTAAGTACTATAACATGAATTTAAATCCTTACTCTTTCAAGTTTGGGGCACTCATAATTCCAGTCACATATCATTCCCAGTAAACATCTTCATGGACATCATACAGATGGTGAGAGTCACTGTTCCCACAATGACTTCCCATGGATGAGAGGTTACAAAAAGGCCATGCATTCAAAAGAGTCTGGACAACATTTTCAAGACTGTTTTTCTATACTTAGCAAACCTGCAACAAAAGAATATTTCATATCAACAAGTACAAGATTAGGGGGGAAAGGATAGAGCTATATAAATTTCTGCAAGTCATCTCTCAGGAAAAATAAAATAAATTAAAAAAACAACCAAAACCCACAAACAAACCAAAACCAGTTAAGTAACAGATAAGTAAGTAAACTTATCTTTACCTTTCAACTTTCCATGTAAAACACATTCGTTTCCAATCTTCCGAAATACAATATTATCTCCTCCTGCCTTCTCAATCCTTTTTTTAATGCACATCTCCTTATTTCTTAAAAAAGTCTTACTTACATGATTCCACCACTTTCATGACATCTCTTAGTATCTTCTTGTCACACAACTTTGATAATACCACTTCAACTCCAACTTTTTGTTTTTACCACTTCTCTATATAAGTGCTCACTAAATTCTGTTATTTTTTTCAACTCAATTTTAACTATATAAATTACCAACAAACCATTCAACAGCAAGAATTGCAATGTTATCTACCTCTGATTGTGTCTTCTCTACTTTCTGCTCAATATCCTTTGGTGATTCAATAACATTTAAAACGATTCTTTCTTCATCTGAAACACATTAATCCTTCTCACATACAGTATTCTGCAACTGTTCTCTTGTACCCATAACCAATTCCCAGGTTACTGATGCATTTCATCATCCCCTTTGATTTAAATAGATAACATTCAACAGAAACTCTCACACCTTTCTTTCACATAACTGAGAACATGGATATTATGTACAAAAACTGCATCCTAGTCTATCTGCTCTGTGTTGCACCTTTAGATAAGTTAATATAGATAAATGCCATAAAATACTCTCTTTAATACATGAGTACTGGGACTTTGCTTTTCTCATTGCACAAATGTCCTAGTTAGAACAACTGGGACCGATTCATCACTGGATGGGTGTAGCCCAAAACTGTGTATTCTATAGCCCTCCATGCCATTTCCCAGAAACTGTTGTCAGTAGAGGCCTGCAAGGCGGCCCCCCCCCCATGCTCCTGTCCTCATGCCCTTTTGTGGAATTCCCTGACTGAGCACCCTCACACCCTTTTATGGAATTCCCCGCTCTGAGGGAGGGACTAATCATTCCTGCCTGAGCTGGAGAATATATAAACCTAGTGTTTCAGAACCTTTCCACCTCTCGTGGGATCCAGAGGAGGACTGCAGCTCACCACTCTCAGTCAGACTGCAGCTCACCGCTCTCAACCAGACTGCAGCTCACTGCTCTCAGCCGGGCTGAGACCACCACCCTCAACTGAACTGCAATCACCACTTTGGCCGGACTGCAGCAACTCTCCCACCAGCAGGGTTTTTTTTCCCCTCTCCCTTTACTTTGGACTCAGGGGGGGTCCAGGGAGCACCGTTTTGTTTGTGCCCTGGGGTGCTGGGTTGTACATTTGGGCTTTGTGGGTTAGGACCGGTTGCTTGTCCATGTGGTCGTACTTATTGTATTATTTTATTAAATTGTTATTCTGATTTGTAATCTCTCTTTTGAGTTGGGTTGGTTTCCCCTGCTGGTTAACTTTTAAACCAACACAACAAAATCAACAACTTATAAGATTCTGTGGTGAATGTTAACTACATAACTGCATCCTAGAATTCAAAAGATGCTTAAATACTAGTCTGACTTATAGAGACATTCCATAGTTCAGTATTTACATGTACAAACCTAGCAGTGTTGAGATTCCCATAGAGGATTGAGGGCTCTACACACTGTCACTTCTAAGTGCCTTTAAAGTAACAATCAGGCTTCTGGGAAGACACTCTTTCTAATATTACTTCTTTTACTTGGACATCATAAATGGGGTTGTCATCCAATGGAGAAAATAATAGACAGGGCAAAACTATCTTAGTGTTACCAGAATCATCTTGGTTTCCTACCAATGCCAATCTCAGGCATATGAGCATCAATAGCACTGATATATTTTTCTTTATCCTTCCATGGTGAAGGTGAGGTAGAATTTTCATGGCTGATGAAACCAACTAGGAAAAGTCATGGAGAGGATTGCTTTCCTTATGAACAAATTTTACAGTTTTTACCCGTATACTATAATCTACATACTGTTTTGTAAATTTATGTTCTTGCAAAACTGTTCCAAGGCGGTATTATGATTTTTCCTCAGCAGCATGGAAGGTATCATTTAATTAGAAAAACTAAAATACAACATAGTCACAGGAATATCTTAGTGCCAAAGATTTTGAAACAAAGTAAAACTACAAAAGGCATAACAATAACCTAATGACTTATGAAAATACTAATATGTTTGAATAGCACACTGTTTCAGAAAAATCCAAATTAATACTTACTACATGACTATATAGGGTCCGACCAGTCCTAAAATTATTATCTAAGCAATAAACAAATCGTTATTAGATCTAGAAAGATTCCAGAATCTTTCTTCAGATATTACTTCTCACATTTCTAGGCAAGACTGCTAAGTGTTCACAAAAATCAGTTAGGGAAAAATGCATTCAATTATGAAAATAACTGCACCTGACATCCAGTCAGAGGCAAACCCACCACACCATATGACATTGTTCTCAGCAGTAAAAGTTCATGGAAAGAACGAGGAAGTGGGGGAGACACGTTTGCGGTTATGTAATTCACCTTTCCAAGTTGGTGTGCTGAGACCATGCCTGCTGATGGGAAATGGTAAATAAATTCTTTATTTTTCTTTGTGTGTACAGCTTCACTTTACCTATTAAACTATCTTTATCTCAATCCATGAATTTTATTGCTTTTACCCTTCCAATTCCCTTCTCCACCCTGCTGGGGTAAAGGTGAGCAAGCAATTTTATCAACCCTAGATATCCTAAGAGTCCTAGTGGGAATGCTGTTTGGTTCTGTAATTGGAAAAGAACCCATAAAAACTGGGACTAAAAAGCCCCTATTGTCCCCCTGAGTAGATTAAGTAGTGGACTGAACATAAGCTAGTGCTGAAGATGGGACAGCAGGTAATTTGTGTTACATAATAGACCGTTGTCTTAGTTTAGCAAGACGCGAATGTTTGTTAAGGAGGGCGGGTTTGAGAAGAAGAATCAAACTCCTCCCTCTAAGTTATTGTAACTTCAAAATTAAGATGCTTCAGGTGAGAGGTGTGGAAAAGGAAAATAACAGCTGTTTATTAACATATATATATATATATATATATATATATATGGGTGTTTTGAGGTTTGGTTTCTTTTTCCCGCTGGTCACAGGGTTATGGTGCAGTCCTCGGGTCAGGCAGCAGCTGCGGGAAGATGCTCTGATAGTGCAGCCCCACGGCCCCGGGCAGAATACCTCGCTCCGAGACTGTTGGGCGGGCTTTCCCGGTCAGTCTCTGACGGCGGTGTCAGGAGGGGAGAAAAAAGAACTTCTCCTCGGGGAAAAGAGGGGAGGCGACCAAAACAGAGGGTGGTTGCCGCTCTGTCGGTTGGTGGACAACAAGTACTACAGACAAACCTTCAAGTTTATTTAACCTGCCTGATGTGCATATTTATTTTTATTACTATGAGATTGGCATTTCTAGAAAACCTTGATAAAGATTTCATGCATTGATTCTGCACTACTGAATACTGTAAACAAAATTCAGTGCATATCATCAGTTCATATTCCTAATTATCTTCAAATTATCTACAAAATATATCTTATCAATTTCCTGTTTACCTTTGTTTTCAATCAAAAATTTCCAGGAGACTATTACACAAAGCAATCCATTCTGGGAATCAAAACAAAATACAAACACAAAAAAATCCTTCCTGGACCCCGCAGCCCACTCCGTGGGGTTGCGCCCTCCGACGTCAAGAAGGCACCGGGACAGCAACTCTGACCTTAACCACCCGTCACCCAGGGCGACAGGTAAGGCGGGCCAGAACGCGGGGCCATGGTCGACCGCTCCCTGGCAGCAATGGCAACAGTGCCCGCCCCTGCATCACCATTATCCTAGGAGCCGCTAGGGACTCAGGCCCACAGACCGTCCCCCAACCACAGAAGACCCGTGTCGAAACGGCTGGTTGTCCGCACCGCACTTGACCCAAACGCGACCTTCATGTCCTCCCCTGCTCCACTGGTCCCTGTTCACCACCCTGGCGCTACACCGCCGCACACAGGCTGCAGCTTCCTCCTTCGCGCTGCAGACTGAGGCTGCCGTTCCCCTCTGAGCAAGGACGCCGGGGGCAAAACACGTCAACCGCCGCCATCGCCCTACCTCGCAGCCAATGACGAGGGTCTAGGACGCCTAGCCTGTGCCGCGTCACTCGCTGAGTCACCGGGACAACGACCCGGCGAACGCCGTATAGAGCTCAAGACTCGATCAGGAGCAGAGAACACACTATCTCACCATGAGTTGCTCACCAATTGGCCACCGCGTTCCCCTCTTCTTATTTCCTGATTGGGCGGCAGGATGAACTTATTTAAGTATGCCGATAGACCAACAGGCTGGTCCTTCCGACCTGTGCACTCGGTGTTCAGTGGCCCTGTTTTTCCGGCCAAAGCAAGCGGGCGGGGTGCCGTTTATAAATCCTTACTGTGGCGGCGCATCTACAGCTCACACTGTTACTAACCCACGCTCTGTGCCTGTGGTACTGCCCGGATGCACTTTACCAAGGCATTAAAGAAATATCGTAATAAGTACAGTTCTCTTGTTTGTGGACAGCAGTACTGCCTCTTGACATTCCAAAAGAAAAATGCAATATGCTTACATTTGTGGCTTTCGGACAAAGGAGAAATACTTTCTGTGATGTAGCTATGAATGCTCAATTTTTCTTTGCTCATGAAGCACGAGGGGCTCCTCAATCTCTGGGCAGTCATTGCCCACTGACTCAGGTATGATATACTATTCTTGATTGCAATACATTGTTCCAGTTTTGTGTGGCCATTTTGTGTTTGCCAGGTCTGAGCAATTTCGGGCTAACATGCTTCAATACAAACAAAATATAATCTGCAAGGATTTTGCTGCAGGTAATTTACACTCCAGCTTTTCCAAAACTGCTTCTTGCGTGTGCCATTTCATTTAGAAATATTTCAAGTAGCTCCACATGGTACTGTCACTGAAACATCAGGAAAAATAAAACTCTAACACTGCAATTTCAGTATTACAAAGAAGGCATTACTTTATTTAAGCACCAGATGCCTGGGGGATGCTCCTCCTAATACAAGCACACCCAGCTAACTCATCATGGTTAGGCTTCACGAATGAAGATTTGGGGAGGACTCTACCCACGTTTGTTACAAGCGCACTGGTGGCTAAAAAGGCCAATATGAGATAGGCACATCTGGTTGCAAAAGGCTCCTTAGGTGGTATATTCTGCAAGACACGATTCTTTCTGCATTGTCTTTTCTCCTCAAGAGTGATCCTGTGTGCTTTCTCAAAAGCATCAGCAGCGTTATAGATGGTGTGTCTCCAGACCTCCCGATTGGAGGCCAGAGTAGTCCAGTTATGTTGATCAATATGGCCAAGGTTGAGATGTTGTTTCAGGGCGTCCTTGTATCTTCTCTTCGGGGCTCCTCTCTTGCGGCAGCCGGTGGTAAATTCACCATAAAGCATGATCTTAGGGAGGCGGTGGTCCTTCATCCTTGAGACGTGTCCTGCCCAACGCAGTTGTGTTCTCATCAACATGACCTCAATACTTGTAACTGCTGCTTGTTCTAGAACAGACACATAATCTGACCAGCAGATGTTTAGGATCGTATGGAGGCAGCATTGATGGAAGTGTTCTAGGAGTCGCAGGTGGTGGCGGTAGATGATTCGGATCCATATAAAAGAGTAGACAGTACAATGACTCTGTAAACACTGATCTTTGTACTTTTCTTCAGGTGTTTATTTCACCAAACTCTTTTATGAAGCTTTCCGAAGGCACTATATGCCTTTGCTAACCTGTTGTCTATCTCTCCGTCAATCTTACCATCCGAGGAGATGAGGCTACTAGGTAACTAAACTGCTGGACTGATTTGAGCTCTGATTCGCCAATGGTGATATGGGGATGATGGAAGACTTCCTGAGGTGTGGGTTGATAGAGAACTTCTGTCTTCTTTAAGCTGACTTACAGCACAAAGGGCTCAGCAGCATCTGCAAAGAAGGATGTTAAACGCTGCAGAGTTGCTTCCGTGTGGGCGACAAGGGCGGCGTCATCAGCATAAAGCAGCTCCCAGACAAGATAATTTAAGGTCTTAGCATGGGCCTTAAGTCACCTTAGATTGAATAGGCTTCCATCAGTACGATATCGAATGTAGATACTGTCCTGATCATCAAGGTCTGCTGTGGCCCTTTGGAGCATCATGCTGAAAAAGATTGTGAATAGGTTGGTGGAAGAACACAGCTAACTAACATACTAGTTTATAACTAGAGCTGCTGGGTGGACACCTGGTGTCCAGTCAAGGTCAACCCACCACAGTAACTAATACATATTCATTACATTTCCCGGAACTCATAGATATATGCTAAAGATTTCCATGAATTTAGTTTTATATTTAAATCACTTCTCATAACTCATCAGTAATCTCTAGCCAGGAAGATGACATACAGAACTGTTGCTACTAGGAGTTTCAGTGGATGCACAGCACTGTAATTGCTAAGTAAGGCAAGATGCACCTGCCATTAATATGAGCTTCCCCCAATGCAAGAGAGGATTTGTGGAACAGAGAAACTGTTGCTATAACCAGGACACCATCTGAAGTCCAAACAATCATCTTCTTGTTTCACCAAGATGTCATTGTGATGTCCAGGTGTGTCGGTAGAATTGCCTATTTAAGGCTTAGGTTTGACATGCTTCAATGATTTCAGAACTAAGGGGAGGTTAACAAAGGTTGGGAAGCAGGATGTACCACTGACAGTGGACACAAAGAATGCAGAATTTACAGGCCACAAGGACATTTGGCAGAACTCCCAAGACAAGGAAGAAACTAATAAAACCAACTCAGCAACTGTGCTGAATCAACTCCGACTGGGTAAAGGTAATGCCTGCAGGGGAAGATTGCAACCACTGACTTACAGACCACGAACTCAAAAGAAGAGAATGACTGAACATGCAGACTGTCACGTGAAAGGGGTGAGGGGGTGTGTGTTTCCCAACCCTTAGGTTTTAGCATGGGCCTTCAGTCGCCTTAGGTTGAATAGGTTTCCATCAGTACGATATTGAATGTAGATACCGTCATGATTATCGAGGTCTGCCATGGCCCTTTGGAGCATCATGCTGAAAAAGACTGTGAATAGGTGATGCCTAATGGAGCTAAGGAAAAAAACTCCGGAGCAGTTAATTGAGGATGAGATAAGAAAAGGGTTTAATTTGTGCCTAGGCATAAAGATCACAAGACGCGCGCCCAGGCCGTGTTCAAGTGTTACAATTTATAATAATGCCCAACCAATCCAAGTTTTGTCCATCCCGTAGCTTTTACCCTGGTCCACCCCCTGGCCCACCCCCTGGGAATTGGGTCTGGGATGTATTTTGGGACCACCTCTTCATCACCTTCATCACCTTCAGAGCACAGAGGGTACACGGTTACCCAGTTCTTGACTGTTCTCTTGTGGTTCAGGCCAGGATTAGATGTCCTCAAACAGCATAGGTCTTGCCTTGACAAAAGACTAAATATTTTCTGCTGGAATTCAGGGGTAGAATTGATATGGGGAACATAGAATGGGGTGATGGGGTAGGGAATGTGTAAACTAAAGGGTGCTAAAGGGTGAGGAATAAGGGCTGCTGCTTCTAAAATCTACTTTTACTACTTAACTACTTATAAAGCTTATAAAATTAGAAAAATAAGAAAAAAACAGATGGACCTTACGTCATCAGTCTTCCCTTTAGAAATTGAACAAGACTCAAAGATCTTGTTCAATCTCTACTACTTATACTTAATATTATATCAGTAAGATGGCTAATACTTATAACACTAATCATATAACAAGCTATTGTGGGGAATCTCGGCTGGACCAAGACCCTAACATGGAATGAAAAGGTGACTGAGAATGGAGGCCTTAGTCCTGTCAACATATCGATGCACCCTGAGAGAGGAGAAAAACACCAGGAGAAAGCTGTCCTATGAGAACAAGGACTTATTTTGAACAAAGTGACTGAGTAGAATGTAAACACGAGAAGAAAACAAGAACAGATGTGCAGAGACTGTGGGAAAGTAAGACTGAGAGAGTCCACCTATCAACAGTGAGATTGTGTTTTGTGTGTTTGAATTAACCTATCTGTATAGAATACGTGTGCTTAAAAACTGTATATAAGGAGCTGAAAAGTGCAGCTCCACATGCTTCTTTTTTCTTTCCAATAAACTTTTCTGCTGGATATTCTATGTCACGTCCGTTCCAACTGCGACATCTGGTGACATTGTATGGCAAAGAAGTCTATACAGGCGGCAGGGGACAGCTGCAGGAATGGAGTTCGGTGTAGCATTGAGAGCAATGGAGAAGTTACCCGGTCGGCCCAGAAGAAAGACACCTGGACAGGTGAGTCACCTAGAAACATGGGGACCACTCTTAGCAAAGAGGAATCTAGTGTTGTGTCAATGTGGAAATCTATCCTGCTTAAACGGAGGGAGAAGTTAGATGAACTGGCTTTGCGAAAGATGCTGCTTTGGAGCAAGGACCAGGGATATGAAGCAGACACTATTACTGCTTTTAGTGTTTCTATTTGGAAAGAAATTGGTGATAAGTTCTTTGATGCTGCCTCCAGGGGAGATAAAGTTGCTGCCTCCCTCCTTACAACTTGGCGGTTGTTATATGAAACAGTGAAAGATATTAAAGCACAGACTGGTAAAGATAAGACGGAACCCTCTGATCATAAGCCTGTGAGTGAGGTGCCTTCTGCCAATATCCCTGCACTCTCCCCACCTCCCCCTCCTGTGCCTCTTCAACGGGATGCTCAGTCTGCTCCTGCAAGAGGTAAGGCACCTGCAGGGGACTTCGGAAGGAGCAGGTCGCCTCAGCCTCGGTATAGGTCTGCCCTTTGGGGGGAGGACAAGGATGGTGATGCCTGCTCGGCTGGCACTAAAGGAAAAAAATCTCAGGAGCAGTTAATTAGGGGTGAGATAAGGAAAGGGTTTAATTGGGCCAAGGCAATAGATGTTACAAGACGCACGCACAGCTGTGCCCGAAATGTTACATTTTATAATATTATCTGTCCAATCCCAAGTGTGTCCACCCTGTAGCCTTTGCTCTGGTCCACCTCCTGGTCCACCCCCTTAGAACTGAGTCTGGGGCGTATTTCGGGACCACCTCTTCATCAGTCTCATCATCCTCAGAGCACAAAGGGTACACAGTCACCTAGTTCTTGACTCTGTTCTGTTGTTCAGGCCTAGATATGGGTGGTCTCTAAACAGTATAGGCCTTGCCTTGACAAGAGACTAAACATTGCCACTGAATTCAGGGGTAGATTTGATATGGGGAGCATAGAATGGGGTAAGAGGGTTGAGGAATGTGTAAACTACTCGTACTACAGGGAAAGGGAGTGAGGGCTGCTGCTTTTAAAATCTACTTCTACTACTTATAAAACTTACAAAAATTAGAAAAATAAGAAACTAATAGGGGTTTAAGACCTCAATGGCATGTATGGGAGGGGGTCAGTAGCAGTCAGCAACCGAACTTACAAGACGCCGGTTCAGTCTATCCTTCCTGTAACACTGCCGCCCACCTCCGATGAGAAGGATGAGAGTGAGAGTGAGAGGGAACCGCCCCAAGGGGACTACCCCCCCTTCCTCAGGACAACTGGGAGGGGGATGATCCCATGACGGGGTAGACCTCAGAATAGGGACCAGTTTTCCCGCCCTCTGGGAGGGTGCAATGGATAGACTCGAGTCGGGGGGGCCAGAGAACCTGGAAAACGGCCAATACCCTGACAATGGGAGTTTCCCCTCTCCCGAGTTACCCTTCAGCCTAAGGATCTCGTTAAGTTTTGGCAGAAAATAAAGCAACAGGTCCTTATGGTAGGCAACTGGGACCTGTCAGAAGCTGTCACGCGCCCCTCACTGAGACCAGTCCTAATACCACAGTTGATGATCCTATGGCCTTTCCGGTGGTGTGAGGGGATCCAGCTAGGGCAGTTGCTGATGAACATCGACCCTGGGCCTGGAAGGTTATTCAGGACTTGCAAACATGCATAGTTAAATATGGCCCTAACTCACCTGCAGCGATGCAATTGCTGTGCTGTATTACCATGGATAAAGTCACACCTTATGATATAAGGATGCTTGCTCAAGTAATGTTTCCACCTGTACAATTCAATGCATTTACTACTATTTGGCAGCAGCTGGCAGATGCCCAGGCCATAACTAATTTGCAGTTCCCACAGGATGATGTCCAATTTGACAATGGAGCTGATGTTTTAACTGGAACTGGTAATTATTCTAACCCACAACATCAGACCCTGTGGGACCCATTAGTTTTGGAGCAAGTAAAAACCATAGGCCAGCAAGCATTATTGCGGGCTGCAGAGTTGGCAGAGCCCAGAGCAAGGTACACGACTGCCGTGGTCCGAGCGGGGGAGGGGAATGGGGCCGTGACATGGCACGGATCCCAGACACAAAGGTGGGGTGCAGGTAGAATCTTTAATCCAGCGTGCGCACGGGGTTTTTATCCGGAGGGAAAGGGTCAGAACATAGGGTGGAGCAGGAGACAGACAGACGGGGGGACAAACCAGGATTGAGCCGTGGGCAAAAAAGGGGGGGGGAGCACAGGAGGGACCAGGGGAGGAAAGGGCGAATGGGGGCTGTCTCCTGCCGCAGCTTCTCCAGCCAGTCGGCAGAGAAGACAGAGGTGCAGGGAGGTGAGTAGGCCGGGACATGCCCGGAAGATACAAATTTGGGGGAAACACACAATGTGTGAAGTCCATTCAATCGCTGTACATATTTTTCCATTTCCGGAATCGTTCCCATTCCGATTCCTGGTCCTCGACACACTACCATATGTCAAGGTTCCCGGGAACCATTCTTGCAGTTCGTGGAAAAGCTACAAGCAGCTGTAGAGAAACAGGTTTTTGACACTCAGTTATGGAAGTTGTTGGTTACGCAGTTAGCCAGAGATAATGCCAATACAGACTGTCAAAAGGTAATAGAGGCATTGCTGGGAGAACCTACCCTTGATGCAATGATACAAGCATGTGCTAAGGTGGGGTCCTTAGACCATCAAATAACTGCGTTTGCATCTGCTATGGCAGCAGTGAGAACCTCCGAGTAGAAATGTTTCTCGTGTAACCAGAAAGGGCATGTGAAGGCAGACTGCCCAAATAGAGGCAAACAGAAGGTCTCAATAGAAACAACTACAGTTGTATGTCGTCGCTGTGGAAAGCATGGCCACTATGCCAAACAGGGTCGATCCAGGTATCACCTTAATGGTCAGCCTTTATCTACAGACCAGGGAAACTGCAGGAAGAGTGCGAACGGGCGTGCGCAGACACAAGTACCTGCTATGTTTCTCAACAATCCCTTTGTCAGCCGTTCACCCATGCAGGCCTTTGCGACCGGTTATCAGGAAAGACCCGTGGATCCGCAGGGATGGATGTTTCCACCGCCGACATAGTAACTATAACAACACACCAGGTGCACAAAGTCCCTTTGGACGCATGGGGGCCTATTGGGAGAGGACTGAGTGCCTTGTTAATAGGCAGATCTAGTACTACTCTCCAAGGTATTCTCATTCATGTAGGAGTAATTGATGCTGACTATGAGGGACAGATTTGTGCCATGGTATCTACTCCTACTCCCCCAGTTACAATAGAAAAGGGAACTCGAATTGCTCAACTTGTACCTTTTTTGAGTTGTGTCCCTAGGACTGAGCAGGTGACTCGTGGCACAGGGGGATTTGGATCTACAGGACCTCCGCGCAAGTGTTTTGGACTCAAATGCTGATGGATAGTCTCCCACTAATGATTTGCATCCTATCTCAGCACACTGCCATGCCTGCAAAACGTAAGGTATCTGGCCTTCTGGACACTGGGGCTGACGTCACTATAATTTCACGGAAGGACTGGTCTCCCACCTGGCCTGTAATTTCTTCCACTCAAGGCGTGGTGGGTTTAGGAGGTTTAGCACAAAGCTTGATGGCTGCCCAACCAGTGACTGTTACTAACCCTGAGGGGCAGGTAGCAACAGTACATCCTTTCGTTACAACAACACCTCTGAATCTATGGGGTCGAGACTGTCTCTCACAATGGGGGGTGCGCATCACTATGGATTTTCACTAGGGGCCACTGTGTTGCAGGGCGTAAAGAGACCCACATTAGCCCTCAAATGGTTGACCGACACACCAATATGGGTAAGCCAGTGGTCCCTCAATCAAGAGAAACTTGAAGCCCTGCGTCTATTGGTAGCAGAACAGTTAAGAGCAGGTCACATTGAATCTTCTCACAGTTCCTGGAACACTCCTGTGTTTGTTATCCAAAAGAAATCAGGGAAATGGCGGTTACTGCATGATTTGCCACAGATCAATGCTCTTATGGCCACCATGGGTGCACTGCAACCGGGTTTGCCTTCCCCAACCACGATTCCTAGGCATTGGGAAATCATTGTCATGGATCTTAAGAATTGGTTTTTTACCATCCCCTTAGATCCAAATGACATGGAGAAATTTGCTTTCACTGTTCTGTCTGTGAATCCTGCAGAACCCACACAGAGATACCATCGGAAAGTACTTCCTCAAGGGATGAAAAATTCTCCCATCATATGCCAATGGTTTGTGGCCCAAGTCTTAAGTCCCATCAGAGAATGTTTTCCTAACTGTTTGTGTCACCATTATATGGATGATATTCTTTTAGTTGCTCCATCACCTCAGATCTTAAATTCAATGGAAGATCAAACACGACTGTCCTTGCAACAATTTGGTCTTGTCGTTGCCCCTGAAAAGGTGAAATGCCAGTCTCTATGGTTGTACCTAGGACTGAAAGTCCTTGATCGCACAGTACAATCCCAACCCATTGTTATAAATTTTGAAATCAAAAATCTGAATGATGTGCAGAAATTGGTTGGTGTGATCAGTTGGGTGAGACCTTACCTAGGCCTCTCCTCTTCTCAGTTAGCACCTCTATTTGAACTCTTAAAGGGTGATACTGATCCATCTGCACCTCATCATTTGACACAAAACGCAAAAAAGGTAATTGAGTTGGTGGAGTAAGCAATTCAGAATAAACATGTATGACGCATCGATTTCTCTATTTAAATTCAAGTTTTTGTGGTGATTGATGAATTGATTCCTATTGCCATGATTGCTCAGTGGAATGAGAAGTGGGACAACCCCCTTCATGTTTTGGAATGGGGTTTTTTGTCGTTCCGCAGTAAGAAAACTGCCCCAGGTTTGTTTGAGCTATTGCCTCAAGTAATTATTAAAGTATGACTGCATTGCGTTGAATTGTTGGCAAGAGACCCAGCACACATTGTTGTACCAGTGTAAGCTGAATATTTTGAGTGTCTGGCCAACAGCTCGGCGTTGCAAGCAGCGCTGATGAATTTTACTGGGCAAATTACTTATCATCTCCCTTCTCATCCATTGTCGAAACTGGCAAGTCAGGTACCGTTTACCCAAAAACAACTCAGTTCACGAGACCCCGTGCCCGGTCCCACCATTTTTACAGATGGGTCAGAAAAAACCAGAAAAACTGCCATAGTGTGGTATGTTGATTCACAATGGCATCACATTGTAGAGCAACAAGAAGGTTCTCCACAGGTTGTAGAATTGCGTGCTGTTTTGTTAGTCTTTCAACATTTTAATGATGCTGTAAATATTGCCACCGATTCTGCTTACGTAGTTGGGTTGGTTCAAAGACTTGACAAGGTTGTTTTGGGGGATGTATCTAATGTTCTTTTGTTTGGTGTGCTGAAGCTTTTTTGGTTGACCATTAAGAAACGCTCACATTTTTATTATATTCTACATATCAGGAGCCATACTTCTCTTCCAGGTTTTTTCACTGAAGGTAATGCACAAGCAGACCACTTGGTTTCTGCACTAGCATTAGGCCCAGTTTCGAAGTTACGCCAACAGGTTGTTGAGTCCCATTGTTTTTTCCATCAAGGTTTTTGAGCCCTGATGAGACAGTTTCAACTTACAGCAGGTGATGTGCGATCCATTGTTGCCTCTTGCCCCGATTGTCAAGATTATCATGTTCCTGCATTTTATAGTACCAACCCACGAGGGCTCCAGGTCCTGCAAATTTGGCAATCTGATGTAACCCACATTCCAGAATTTGGCCGTCTAAAATATGTTCATGTTTCTATTGATACCTTTTCACAGGTCATCGTGGTCACTGCTCATGCTGTCAAGTCTGCCTGAAATGTGATCTGCCATTGGCAACGGGCATTCGCCTTTTCTGGAGTTCCCAATCAACTTAAAACCGATAATGCCTCGGCTTATAAATCGAATAGGATTGCACTATTTTTACAGCAATGGGGTGTTACGCATGTTACGGGCATCTCTCATTCTCCTACAGGTCAAAGTATTGTTGAGCATGCTCATGGCACTCTCAAACGTTTTCTTCAAAAACAGAAAGGGAGAATGACAGGTGAATCCCCTGAAGCAAGATTAAACAACATACGTGCTTAACTTTTTGCATATTGCAGAAGGTTGTCAGGAACCTCCCATAGTTTGTCATTTCGCGTCTCTGATACGAAATTCGCCTGTTTCCCCTGGGGTCAAGGTGCAGGTAAAAAATTTGCAGATGGGACAATGGGACATTACTGGGGAAATATTAACTTGGGGACGAGGCTATGCTTGTGTCTCCACAGATGAAGGGCCACGCTGGGTTCCTGCACGGTGTGTGCGTCCTGTTCTGCATCGGGATGATCGCTGCTGATACATCCTACGAAGAGGAGCTGAATCGAATTAGTCCATGGAAGAAGCACAATGTCTGGGTCACCTTAATGAAGGTCTTAAACCAAACCACCTTTTGTGCCTCGCTTGCACAGCCCGAGCAGCCTTTTCACACCTGTCTGGTAGGGGTTCCGTTAAATGGCAGTGAGGTCAACTGTAGTGGTTTGAATCAGTTTTTCCCCCTGCAGTTGAAAGTGGTAACCCCCAGGGGGTGGTAAGTTTTGAAGTTTTGAAGTTTTAGCCAATGAGTGTTTCTGCAAAATATAAACACATCACAACCAAACGGAAGAGAAGAGTTGTAGTTTGGGTAGTAGTAGGAGAGGTGGTCATGTTGTAGAGTCACGAGGAAAGGGTTCAGAGCCCCACAGGGGGGTTTTGGCCCCCAACCCCCAGGGGGGGGCCTGCGGGGACCTGGAACAGCATAAAGCTGGGCTAAGTACCTGCAAGTGAGAGTTGAGAAAGTTTTCTCCACTGTGAGTGAGCAGAGACAGCAGCGGCAGATGCAGCGTCCAGAGACTCTGGTTAAGAGCCAGGACAGATAAGAACTGAACCAGAGAAGCAGCAGAAACAGCATGCAACTGAGTAAGGAAGACACCGAGTTGTCTCGGAGAGCCGAGAAGGAGAGTCAGCAGCAGAGCTACAGAGTTTTGGGGGTAAGAACTGAACCAGACCCCCCAAACTCCTTTGAGACCTCCCGGAAAGGAGGGACATGGGTTCCTATTATGGAGAGGAGCCTTGGACATGCAGCACTAGAGAGAGAGAGGAGTTGAGACGCTCAAAAGCGTCCTGAAGCTGGACCGGGACGGAGAGGAATGCAGAGGGGATGACCTTGGCTCCCCCCTTGCACTGCTGCCAAGGTGGCAGCCTGAGGCAGGGTACAGAAGCTCTGGA